GAAGCACTCCTCTTATCTCCATTTGTACAGATTTAGGGAGGCATCTGTAAGGTAAAGGAGGGAACTCAGGAGCTTTCAGCACTCTAAGCAGACCATTGCAGAGGTGATTCAACAGGACGGGAAGGAGGGAGGAGACTGGTATATTCCGGTACAAGTCTATTAAAGGTTTCATTGTTTTGACTTCTGGAGTCTGCTTCTGGGTGGGCATAGAAAAGCCACATTATGGCACCACCAAGGCTTTTAAGCTCTATGAAACCTTTCCCTGAGGGTGAGAGGGAAGATGATGAGGAACTACAAAGTTCATTTTCTGACTCATTCTTCACTTGTACACCTAAACCTCTCTATTCATTGAAATAGGAATTCAGAGTGGGTGTAATATATCACAGTCCCATATAACACTCCCAATGTAGGTACTATGTTATTTGAGGACTAGTAATGGTCAAGGCGTTCTCAAAGTTCAAGTAAAGATGTAAACATGAAGTGTTTTTTCGTAACTGAAAATGTATTCCAAAGTGGAATTGTAACCTTTTACTTGATATTTGTTAACATAGAATCATAGCAAAACAAAAGGAGCACACAAAAGCAATTTTGTTTGTTTCTGTTGTCTTTATTTTTATATTTTATCACTATTTGTTTACAGTGGGATGTAGCAGGAGTATGTGACCCTCCCAGTTCTCCACAGGCAACTATGGAGGGCTATTGCCCTAGCCTCCCACTCCTGCCCTATAATATACATAACATGTTTTCCCGAAAATAAGACACTGTTTCATATTTATTTTTCCTCAAGAAGACACACTATGGCTTAATTTCAGGGAATGTTTTAATTTTATTAAGTATGGTACAGCAATCTACATTTATGGGATAATTTCTCTGGGCTCAGTAGCATACTGCTTGCCGAAGCTATCCCCTGGTGTTTGTGTGGGGTGAGAGTGACCCACAGACTGTTGCTGGTCAGTGCTGGAGAGCAGCGGCTTTACTGGTGTTTTTGTGGGGTGAGAGAGACCCACAAACCATTGCTGGTTGGTGCTGGGGGGAGAGAGTACCTCCCAGCGACAGAGTAAACGGCAGCCATAGCTTTACTTCTTCCCCCTGAGGACACAATACCTAAAGCAGAGCGTCCTGCTCCTCACTTCACTGAGGAGACTTTCACTTTCTATGTGCCCCTCTATTCCTCAGCTTGCAGCACACACAGAACGACCGGGACATGACAAGGTGAGCTGTCCTTGTATGCTGCATAATCATGCCTATCACTATGTCTTATTTTCAGGGTATGGCTTATATTGCGCAAATGCTTAGAAATCCTTCTATGACTTGTTTTCTGGATATGTCCATAAAACAGAGTACAAATTGTTTTTCTTACGTATGAATCTCCACACTACACAATTTCTGGCATTTTGAATGAGTACAATCTTTTCTTTAAAAGCATTTTATTCCAAAAGGGAGATTATTTCTCTCATATTTCTTCTAAATTTCCCTAGATTTCTAACTTTTCCAGTAGAAAAGTTGAAAATTTCCCACTTAAAAAGGGGCGGGGGGGGGGGGGGGCATTCCTCTCATTTTTCCCCAAGCATCTTTACATCTCTAGATAGTCATGGTGTGACTTTTGACTTCTATACTGTAGTAGTAGGAGATGTTGCTATACCTTGAAAAAAGACTGTGTATTTTACACACCTGCTTTTAAGGCCATGAAGGATCTATAGGATTAATTTGTTTAGAAATCTTGTGGCTGGATAGGGGAACATAGTTCTATTCCTCTGGGCCTAAGGGCCAGGGTGTTATAGTTGTTTATACTGCAACTCTGGAGATTTGGGTTCAAATCCTTGACTATTGACTATTGAAACACATTGGGTGATCTTGGGCAAATCACACTCATGGCCTCAGAGAAAGGCTCAGGCAACCACCCTTTGAACAACTCTTTAGGGCCCCTGTAATTCAGAAATAACTTTAAAACACACAATATTCTGGGCCTAATGTGGCCTGTGGTGGTTATTCATCTGACTAATAGGGAATGTGGAAAAGCAATGTCCTTTGACCCCCCCCCCCCCAAAAAAAAAAAAGAAAAAGAAAAAAGCTTTGATTCCCAGTTGGGAAGGGATGTAGGAAAACCCCACTGTTGTCCTCAGTTGGTGATGGCAGATTACAGTAGCCCTGATTTGCTTCTACCTTGTGTTTGTTAATTTGGAAATATCTCAATATCAGTGAAGTTGTTTCTCATGTGACCCAGCTGGCCTACTGCTTTCTGAGCTCATTCAGGGCATTGTCTTGCACTGTATGTTTTCCAGTTGGCAAAGATTTGTTTCTTTTCTCTCTTACTTCTGGAATGTTATTGCCAGCACTTGAGCCAGAGCTCAAGCTGAGTTACTCACAGACTGAGTTACTCTCATTTATGTGTTTTACATATTTGAGTTACTTACATATATCTTGGTTTTATATTGGCCTCATGATTGCAGCTAATTCATTTCCCATGTGTGTTCCTGCGTCAGTCTTTTGACTTGCTTCTGTGATTGATCCAGCAGCATATTCATGCAGAAGAACTCTAGTCATTTTCCCTGTTGATGTGGATAGCACACACTGTATTACTCTTTTGCTTCTTTCTTTTCATTCTATCCAATTTATAAAAACACAGCATTAAGAATATCATGCCATATTTCTTCAATTTTTCTCACTTGATGTCAGCACAATATTAAGGCCAATTTGTTATATTGGTAAATATGAAATTGCCTCTGCCTTAGTGATCTCAATCTTTGACTCCAGCATTTATAAGATTAGGTACTGTTTCCTTCACTCTGCATATTAGATATTATCTGAGTATTTTTATTTATTTATTTAAAGCATTTATATTCTGCCCTTCTCACCCCGAAGTGGACTCAGGGTGGAGCACAATATATATACGGCAAGCATTCAATAAAATAAACTATAAATGTACATAAACTCTAAAATCAGTTATCTCCACTTTAAAATCAATTGTTTAAACCATCTCAGATCATCCATACTGAATCCTGTCAACAGGGTAAAGTTTCCTATGGTTGCCCTAGCAATCCTAGGAGTGTCAATCAGGGTATCTGACTTTTTTTGAAGGAAAAGAGGCTCCATGGGGCTTATTTGTGAAATTATCTGTTAAGAAAAAGCTCAGGTTGCTGAAAGGTGGCAACAGATGCTCACTTAAATCTAACTGCTTATTTCACCTAGGATAGAACCAACCATTCACTTAGTGGAACTACAATGTTGTTGTCCTATCATTTGCCATTGCCTCACTGAGAATATAGTAGCTGGGGCTAAGTGTTGTATATATAGGTTACTATCTTTTCTGCTCAAACCAAACAGTGATGATAAAATAGCCATTTGTTGTTTGTAGATACCAATGCAAGTGGAAAGTTAGCAAAGCATCTAAGGAAACCTGATCTCCAGTTTCTTTCAGTTTTACCATTAACAACTAGTGGTGCAATATGAGCTGTCAGGCTTGCTTCTTCAGAGTGAAAGGAAGATATCCCAGAGCACTGCCTTCCTTTAATCAATCTGTTTTTGCTAATCCCTTTACAAAGGGGAATGGCTGTGTGCAGCCTGGCAGTTGCAAGCAGCTGTAGAGGAGGCGCCTGGGTTTCTTTCATGGCTCATAAGTTGCCCTTTTTCTCTGAACTCCATGATCTTTAGCTGATGTATTTTCCAGAATAGTAGTAGGTGTTCTCTGACTGCTCTCTACATGTGATGCAACTTTCTGGAATAGTTTCCAATTCAAAGGTGTGTGGATTTAACCTCTGATCTGAAGAATTTGCTTTGTGAATGTACTGGAAGAATAATATATTAAGTTTGATTCCAACATTAGCATGGATGCAGAAAACCATGGATAATAGTGAATCTTATTGAAGTGAACAACTTCTGCTGGAAGTTACTAGAGAGCTGTGTTGGATGACTTAGAACATTTCTAGAGAGGAATTTTCTGGGTTCTTCAATACCACTCTATTGTGTTTTTTTAAATAAAAGTATACCATGGAGTTGCTTGGAGGATCCAAAAAATTCCTAGAGCTGACATATTTCGTGTTAAAAAACAAAGTATGGATCGTTGATGTTGCAATCCCAGGTGACAGCAGGATTGAAGAGAAACAACTGGAAAAGCTGACACGATATCAGGATTTAAAGATCGAACTGCAAAGACTCTGGCACAAGCCAGTAAAGGTGGTCCCAGTGGTGATAAGTGAAATGACCATATTATTGCAAACTTGTTTTTTTGTGGGGGTAGTGAAATTTGGGGCCTTTGCGTCTCCATGTTTCACTGACTGTATAAAACAGGGCTGGGAATTGGATGGCCCTCCAGACATTGCCAAACTGTGGCTCCAAGCATTTACTGTATTGACTAGAACTTCTGATAGCTGAAGTTGAACAACATATGTAGGGCCACACAGTTCTTTTCTCTGATATAAATCATGCTGCTAAGGTTTACTCTCCATATTGCCTCATGCTTTTTGAGAAAGTATTCTGTATTATCTCTGAAATGAATTTGTTTATGTGAGTGTGTTATGTGGTGAGGTTTCTGGTATTGCTCTACATGATTTTAAAGTGTTGAAGTAAACTTCCTAGCTTTTATCTTCCCTTTAAAAAATTCACAAAGATTGAAGGCATATTTATTTTGATGCATACATTGGGGGTGGAAAGTGCTATAAATAGCATAATTGTCAGTATGAGTAATTCTTTAATAATAGAATGAATGGCTTGGAACTAAAAACAAGGAGCCAAAAAACAGGGACTAAATATTGAAGCAATGCAAAGATAAAACTAATACCTTGACTCCAATATATGAGTCAGGGTCTAGGACTAAAGCAACAGTTACTATGGAATAGTTCAAAATTGGCCAGCATATTTATTGTAGTTCTTAAGAAATTAAGAAACCTCTCTGCATTTCTTGGATGGTAAGCTCTTTTACCCAAAGCTTAGTGTAGTGTTTATTTTATATCTTAGAAACACCATTATGTCATAACTGGAAAACACTGTTTTTTTCCCTCCAGAGCTTTACGGCTTTGATGTCCTAATTGATTCTACTCTTAAACCTTGGCTACTGGAGGTGAATCTGTCCCCTTCGCTGGCCTGGTAAGGAATTCTTGAGAAAGGTGGGATTTAAAATAGATGTAGTTTGGCTACAGTTTGGATAGCTAAAGTTCAGTAAGTTCTAATTATGTTAAGGATTTAAAGGAAGGTTCTCTTTATTTATTCTTGTTATATATCATATTTTGACAAGATTAAATACCTCTGTACCAAGTTTGAAACTCCAGGTAGTTCAAAACATGGCAACCAGATGGATTACAGGAGCATCCAGGCGTGAGCATATTATACCCATATTAAAGTCACTCCACTGGTTGCTAATTAATTTCTGGGCAAAGTACAAAGTGTTGCTTTTGACCTTTGAAGCCCTACATGGTTTGAGTTCAGGTTACCTACAGGATCACCTTCTCCTGTACAAACCGTCCTTTAGGACACCGAGGTTGTCTGGGGGATGTTTGCTCCAACCAGCCAGAACTCAACTGGTGACCGTCACGCAGAGGACTTTTTCATTGGCCGCCCCAAGAATGTGGAATGACCTGCTGGAAGAGCTCCGACAGCTAAATGAGCTGCTGATATTTGAGACTCAACTGAAGACCAGCAGGCCTATCCAATCAACTTTGACTCATGAGTTTTGATTACCTTCTAATGCTGCTATATGTTAATTTTGTATAGGCATTTGGTGTATGTTTTTTTTAATATATTGGGGCATTTTATCTATGTATTTTATTGTATTGTATGTTTTTATGTTTTGACTTTGTTGTACCCCGCCTTGAAGCATCAGGAGAGGCGGGTAATATTCAAAATGTATAATAATAATAATGTTGTGACATACTGTGATTTTGTGTCAGTAAAATAATAACAATAACAATAATAATAATAGACAGGATTAAGCAGGGCATCATGAAAACTGAGAAGGCAGGTTTATGTTCTTCATGGTCTCTGCTGCCTTGGGTATTCTCTTCAGTTTTTTGTTAAGACTATTAGACCTAACTTTTTGATTTCTTTGGGTTGGAGCAACACTGAATATCAGTTTCTCTCCTTAGGGGAGTTTCAAGCAGTGCTTCCTCAGAAGCCCTCAAAGTCTAGGAACATAAATGATAATGATTAGGAACAGGGGATTCCTGAGTACTGTAACTTGTAAAATCTTGGCTTATTCCAGAAGGGTTTTTAAAATTAAATTATATAAAACTGGTGAAACCTTTTTGTAGTTATATTTTTTCTCTATTTTAGTAAATCTATTGATTTATTTACATTTCATGTATATGCCACCGTTCTCCCAGGTTAAGACTCAAAGCAATCTCTAAATATAAAGATTTTTTTACTTGACAGCTGGCCTTAGCAATAAAACACTTATACTGGAAAATTCTCTATTTTACTAATTACTGTATATCATAGGAACAAATGAAAATTAATATTTGCCTCAAAGAAAGCCAATTCAAAAATAATAGGAATGTGTTAAATATAGTTGTAGGTGAAGAGGATCCCTAGCTGATTATGTCTGAAGATGTTTGTAATGCTGAGGTGCCTTGTTTAAGGACAGACATTTCCTTAATGTCGCCAGGGGCATGGAATAAATTGGCTGATCGAGTGAAGATGATTGATTTGCCTTCTCTTATTTCATGTTGTATAGTGATGCTCCTTTGGACCTGAAGATTAAAGCTAGTATGATTTCAGACATGTTTACACTTGTAGGTGAGTGGCATGCCATTCCATTCCAGTCTTTCATTGTTTTGGGTAACTAATAACGAGGAAAATGTGGGTATGTTGTGTATGAGAGAGTTGACTGATTGTTTTGATTTTAGGTGGATGTCTATGTCATACATTGGAATGTGATGTGCTGATGGAAGTATCAGAATTATTTTTGTAAAGTGGGGTGTATAACAGCTGAGAGATGTTCTTTTGTGAGGAATGTAGGTAGGCTAAACTGTGTGGGTTGAAAGAGCCATAAATGATGTAGATCTGAATGTGCTGAAAAGCTGATTGTGTGATGTCTTGATGCACTGAAGTTTGTAGGATAATTCTAGAAGAATACTTTGTTTTGTTGGCATGGTTATCTTTATCTGTTCAGTTCACTTCTGTCAGCAAAAAAAAGCATTATTCTGAAATTATCCCACAATCCTTATGTTTGCTAAGAAAGCATCACAGATATTAGTATATCAATGCACACACATGTGAATCCATACAACATGCTTATCTACCTTCATTGTACCTTCATGGAATTTGTGTTTGAATTTGGGAAGGTCTGAATTGTAACCAAAGCCATGATTTCATATTCCATATTGGAAAGAGTACCTTAATGTTATGCCATCACTATAATTAGGCAATAGTTTGCGAGAACAGACATTACTGTCTTGGTGAGCTTTTTATTTTTGATGGAATAGTTATATTTGTCTAGTTTATCAATTTGGAGTTTCCACAATGTTCTTATGTAAACTACCCTTCTCTTTCTCTCTCAGGCTTTGTTTGTCAGGATCCAGGTCAGCGGTTAAACAGGACATCTTTTTATTCCTCTGAGGCAAGGAGAAATCCATACCAGAAACCTCAAGTAAGAAGAAAATCAATAACTAGCTTAAAGAGCTTCTTAGCTATTATGAAATTTTTCCGAACTACTTCATAATTTGGGGAGAAAACTCTTGTACCATCTTGTCTTGTTGTACCATATCGAATGGATGAATTTCTGTACTGCTTTCTGCAGTTGGAACTTATGTCTTATGTCAAATCAGTGTCAGTAGGATTTGCTTCTAATTGAATGAGCATTGCACATTCTGACTGAAACAGACATTTGTAATAGTTTGCAGTTATGTCTTTTATTACTTCAATTGGATTTCTACAACAGCACTGTATTTCATAATGTACAGAATAAAACACTTCCTTATTCTAGGGACCTGAATGTTGTTATTTAAAATGAAACATTTACATTTTTAATGGGTTTTTTTTATTGCTATGACAGGAAAACAACCTGTGGAGATTTTGTTGGAAAATATTAATTAGAAGCATGAAATAAGCATGGAGAATGAATGATGCAATTTTATGAGGAAAAAGAACTTACTACCAGCGTATTAAAATTATCACTGAAGATACAGTACATGTGGAAGTCCCCACAAAACATTTGCCGAGAATATCTTAAGGAACTGAAAATATTATATTATAGTTAATTACAGTGTTTAATTGATGAAATAATTTTGAAGTAGCTGTAAATCTAGGACATCATTATCTTGTTGCCTTAAATTAGGAAAAATACCAAAACAGTAAAAGCAGAAAATGCATAGAAATTAAAGTTAAGGGATCCAATTACAGGCAGTCCCCGAGTTACAAACATCCGACTTAAAAACAACTCATAGTTAAGAACGGGGGTGAGACAACAGGAAGTGAGAGAAATCTACCCCTTCTGAAGGGAAATTCTCTCCTGAAAGTGTTATCATGGGGAAAAGATGACTCCCCTGAAACTTTCTCACCAATCTTTGCTTTACAACAACTTTTTCAAAATCCATTTATCACAAGGACAGAAAATGAGGTGAAATCTTCTGAACAGCAGCACAGACAGTAAAACAAATACTACAGGGGTGTTTAACCTTCCCTATGCTATGTAAAGCTTGCGTCTATCTACCTATCTGTCTAGTTAGCTAGCTACATGGAGCTACACTTAAAATGTACCTGTACTGACTTAAAAACAAATTCAGCTTAAAAACAAACCTACAGAACCTATCTTGTTCTTAACTTGGGGATTCCCTGTATATATCTCTTAAGGGAAGATTTTATGTAAATATCAGTGAGATCACACATACAGCAAGTTCAGATATTAAAGATTGTTTTATAATTTGTGTCATATCCACAGAACTGGGATAAGTTAAGACAATTTTGTTCTTATTTTGTAATCTAAAAAGAAAAATGTCAACATTTGCATTGACTGCAGAATGACAAGCTTCATAGACTATTTGCTTAAGTTTAGAAAACTTGAATATTTCAGTTGAATAGTGAAAAACAAAAAAATATAGATTGTTACAGATGAGTATTTAAGCCAAAATAAATTATGAAAGAAGTGTAGGAAGAATAACATATTGGCTTCTTGGTTGAAGACAATGATTTGGATACAGCGCAAGAGTTTTCTCCCCAAATTAGGAATTGTGGGAGTTGAAATCTAAAACACGTAGAGGGCCGAAGTTTGCCCATGCCTGTTTTGGAGCTTTATTGTCATAGTGCGTGGGATCATGTACGTATGCACATACAAGCATATGTATTTAATATGTTACCCTTGGGACCCGTAATATGTTAGAAGAAGGAGGAAATGATGGATGTATACCTGAAAGAAATGGCACCTCCCCAATTCAAAAATCATATTTTGTCTTTATTTAATTTTTTGTATGCTGACATTTTGTGAGAACTGGTGTTATCCAGAATAACTAAAAGTAAATACCACTAAAGATCTACAAAAATAAAATACAGTTAAACTGATTGTAATGTCCAAATTCAAATAAAATCATCATGCTTTAAAAACCTTTATTCACATCAGCCAACCACTTAACACCTACCTAAAAATGAACTTATTTGCTTACCAGTAGAAGAACAGAAAGAAGATGACCAGCCTAGGCTTTCTCAGAAGAGAGTTCTGAGGTTTGGGCAACCTCTCTCGCATCCTCACCTATCATGCCTCTGAAGATGGCAGGAGTTAGTAAACAGTTATTGAATCATAGAGTTTGAGGAAACAATGAGGCCAGTCCAACTCCCTGCCATATAGAGATATATATGTACAATGTAAAGCTCAGGCAGACTTGTGTGGGAGAATGCAGTTTTTTACTTGCCCTGGACCTAGATAGTATAGCTCCGTAACAGTCATAACGACCACTGAAAATGAGCTGTCAGTTGGTATAATTATTTTTGCAGGTGAATTACCTGTAATAGACTTAGCCAATCAGCTCTCCCAGTAATTGTTCTCTTTTTACATCCCCCAATTTCAAAGTAGTACAGGAACACATTTGGGTCCAGATTAGTAGAACTGGAAGAGACCTCAACAGTCACCTGTCATGCAGGAATATACATCTGAAGCTTTCCAGAGAGATAAAGATGTTCAATGAAGGAGAGTTGTCAACCTTCTGAGGCAGTGGATTTCACTGTTGAACAGCTCTTACTGTCAAATCCTTCCTCATATCTACATTGAATCTTTTTTTCCCCCCCTGCAATTGGAATCTGTTAGATTGTGTCCTACTCTCTGGAACATCAAAAAAGCAAACTTTTTCCACTTTCTACATGACATTGCTTCTATAGATGCTCGGGGGGGGGGGGGGGGGCGACGACGACACACACGGACAATCGCCCCCCCCCAAGAATCAGTACATGTTGTTGACAGAAATGAAAACACAGGGGTTTTTTTTCTTTGTACAACTTAGTTGGAGTCCTGACTATCTTCTATTCTCAAAATTTGCTTGTAGGTGTGTTATCTAGTAGAAGGAGATGTTGGTTTTAAATATTTTTCATTCTGCATTATTACATGCTGCATGCTTTCGATGTATGTTTAAGATGTTTTAAATATAATATTGGAATATATCAAAAGCTTGTTACACTTTGTGGAGATCATACATATGTACACTAAATGAATATAATAATAATAATACACTGTGTATTTCAGACATGTGACAAAAGGAGTGATGATGCCACAGAGGACAGCATGAAATCTTTGTTTTTTATCTTTCTCTTCTAGCGTCCTGTCTCTGCACAGTCCCGATCTACAAATGCCAAACTAGTAAGTGTCATATTTTATATTGCTTCACTCAATATTTTGAAGTGTCTGTTTTGAATGTGTTGATTATATTGGCAGAAAAAGATTCAACCAATTGGCCATGACTAAGAGAGAAAATTAACTATACTGCGAATGCCAAGACTTGCAGGCAGATTATTAACTATGCCAGGCTATCTTTTATTTATTGTTGTGTTTAATGCAGAAGCCTGTTATCTTGCCCCCTTGAAAGGTAGACAAATTCTGGTATTTATAACTGTGTCAAATTCAATATATTAATTGTATATGTGACATCTCAAGTGCAAGATTTTTCTATTTTCCCTTTCTTGTGCATGCGTCACAGTTGTATCGCTGTTATGATGCATATAGTTATCTGACCTATACTGTCCCTACATTTTTTGATCAGAATATTCTTAATTTGAACAAAATTGTGAACATTAGAAATAATAAACAGAGTAAATAAAACTATTTAGATAAGACTAGGAAATTAACATAGTTTAAATCACTTCATTGATTTGCAGGTATAGATATTAGATTAATTTGATGTATATAGATTAATTTGATGTAGAATATGGACATTCCTGAAATTTGGAAAAAGGTCAGTGTAATAAGGGAATAAAAGGGAAAGTTGTGTTGAGAATACAGAAATAATGGACACTAAAAGAAAGGGAATAAGGTTCATCTAGAATAGGACTGGGTAATTTGCATGTCCATGGAGCACTTTTCGTTTGGCAGGTGTATGAGGGCTACACACCCACAGAATGTGGCCTAAAAGGAAGAAGTACAGCTTGGCAAACTTTTAAAATGATAAATACACAATAGAATATTAAGGAATTTCTGCAACTAATTTTATTATTAATTAATACAAATCCCCAGCCTAATACTTGGTTGTTATTAATTTTATATTTATACATATGTTACTCTAAAATTGATTTCAGTTGAATTGAGATGCCAGATCAGATCACTCTGGTGAATGTTTTAGTTGCAAATTGTTTAGACTACTGTAAAATGTAAGATTGCCTTTAAAGGTGTTTATGGGCACTTCAGCTTGTTCAAAGAGCTGCAATCAAAATGTTAACCACAGCAGATTGCAGTGACCCCCCCCCCCCGTTACAACATTTCCACTATAACTTTGTTCTAGGTACGTTCAGTGCTGATTATGACCTATAAAATCCTATATCGCTCAAGTTACACTATCAGACAGATGTTATCTTCATATTTGAGCTAATCAGACCATGAGAAAAATGGAAGGATACTGATCTAGTGCTATACTGAAGTGTTCCCTATTGATCTAGCTTTCTACATGCAGCATGGCTTTGTTTTCAAGAAGAAATATTAAAGTATGTGAAGTTAAGCCAGGAAATCTGGTGGGAGCCGAGGCAAAGCACGACCACTTGAATCTTTAGCATGAATGAACTGGTCCTGAGACTGCTGAATGCCATGCAGTATGGAATTGTTCTTGGAATAAGGTTTTGTGAAGGTTGCCTGTAGAAAAATGCACACTAGAGTTTGTTCAGGATGGAATTGTGTTGTTTTATCTGGCTTCTGGATTGGTTGCAAGGGGGCATCTAAAGCCAAGAGAAAGAAAAACAGCACATTCTCAACATTTTATTTTTTTTGAATAGGGGAAAAAACTGCTAGGTGTGAAGCAAATATTTTGAAAAGAAACTCTTACAAATTATTTGGGGGAAAAACTTGGTTTTGCAGAGCTAGGCCAGTTTTCTCTCTATACTTTGATATAAAAGCCATAAGAAAATATAAATGTGGCTTGCTTATATGGCAATTAGTATACAACATATTTTGACCCTCTCTGAAATTTCAATCTCTGAAATGACAGAGTTGAGCCAAAGCAGTTCTGGGGCCTTCCTCTGAAATACACTAGAGTTTTGCTTATCCGACCTTCGCTTATTCGACATTCTGTCTTATCTGACGCTCTTATCCAATGCCCCTCCTTCTCCTCCAGCATTTCCTCTTCAATTAAAGGAGTGTTTTCCAACTATCTCTCCTTACCCAATAAATGAAAAAGGCAAGACGAGGAAGAGGAGGAGGATGAGGGGGGGGGGAAGGGGGCCTTTTGTAAGCTGCCCTGAGTCCCCCTTCGGGAGTTGAGAAGGGTGGGGTAGAAATGCTCGAAATAAATAAATAAATAAAAGAGGCAGGACCTGAAGCAGAAGCATCCTCCTCCTTCCCTCTGTGATTTCCATGCTCCTCTTCTGCATCCAGGCACTTCCTCCTGGGCTGCTCTAGCCTTGCCTTAATCCTTTGAGTCCCTGTTGTTAGTATTCTAAGTGTCTTGTGCTGCATTGGGTAACAGTAGGAGACTCCGCATTATCCGACATTTTTGTTTATCCGACGTTCTGCCAGCCTGATTATGTCAGATAAGTGAGACTCTACTGCATAAGTTTAAAAGGTTTTCCTCTCAGGCAAGAAGGCTGGAACTAAAGTCCCTTCTCTTTTAGTTAACCTCCTTAATTTTCCTTTCAAAAAGGCTACTTCCAAGCCACATATTAATATGGTACTGCAATTAACTGTGTAGTATCTATTTTCTTAAATCTCCTTGTTGTCAGAGCCCCTCATGGCTAACCTGACTCCTCATTCTGGAAGTCATGAAAAGGATATGCTCCAGATGATGTGAAAGAATGCGAAAGCCACTCCTTTACATGACAATATGACACAATTACTGTGTCTCATACTTTATCTTTCCTTTACGTCTTGTCGCTTAGAGAACAAAAAAGTAGAGTACTTTTTCAAGTTATAGTGGATTTTTTTTTGCATGTCCCAACTTATGGTTGCCATGCTGAGGGAAGACATGGGGACAAAGCATTACATGGGGACAAAGCATTACATTATGTAGATATTCATAGCATGCAAAGAGGGAATATGGCAGACTCAAGACAGGGATGTTACCAACATTGAGACATACATTGTTGGGAGATGGAGGCAGTGATTCTCAACCTGTGGGTCCCCAGATGTTTTGGCCTTCAACTCCCAGAAATCCTAACAGCTGGTAAACTGGATGGGATTTCTGGGAGTTGTAGGCCAAAACACCTGGGGACCCACAGGTTGAGAACCACTGTACTAGAACCTTCAAGAATAATGTTTTCTACTTATCACAAATGCAGTACTTCCTGTATGTGCTGAAGGCTATACATTAGAACATTCCAAAATTTTAAATAGTATTAGTGGGATTAATTGAGATTGAGTTCTTGGTGTATTGTACTGTGGTCTTCATTTGTCTACTTTCATTTTTTTTCAAATCTTATCCTGTCTTTTTTTCTTTCATGTTGATGGGCCATGCAATAATAGTTGTTTTTATACATTTCTAGGGGGAGGTTACATTGAGCCCAAAATTCTGCTTCTTTGATCTCAAGATTTTTAAAAAAATCTTTCTTTGGGAACTTAATGTCTCAATTATTAAATACCGTTGATTCCAGCTTTGGCAGTGCAACTAGGTTGAAAATGTCTGGCCAGTACTTCATATTTTATCCCCCCCCCCTTTGTTTCCCTTTAGTACTTGCTCATAACTAATTTAGCCATGTAGTGACAGAAATAGAGATGAATTCAGAAAATGCAAATGTCCTGTTCAGAAAGAGTTTTTGGCATTGGTCATTTCAGCAATTAGATTTGGAAAAAATATTGATGAGCTAAATGTCTTTTTCTTATTATACCTTCATCTCACAAGCAGATTGCTGCAAACCATGAACTGACCAGCAGTTGCGAGCTAGAGATGTTTCTCAGTAGGCACCAGGGCCAGGAACATGTGTCATGTTTTGTCCATAGAAACAGAAGTTGTGGATGTTGGCTTTTACAGTTTTAGGGTGTGGTTCTGCAGTCAAACACAAGGAATATGAAATCTGGCATTTGTATCTAGTGGGGTGTGGACCTTATTATAGTTGGAGGAAGCGAGTGTGAAACTTGGCATTTGTGTCCTTGGATCCTTTCTGTTTTGGAGTGTGACTCCTGACCTTCATGCCTGGAGAGTATTTTTTCCTGCGCAAATGGATTTAGCATTTGAAATCATTTAAAATGTTTGGAATACAATTAGAAGGCCTCAAAACCTCTGAGGATGCCTGCCATAGATGCAGACGAAACATCAGGAGAGAATGCTTCTAGAACATGGCCATATAGCTCAAAAAAATCTACAACAACCCACAATTAGAAGAAATAATTAAATTCTGATTTATCTCTGTGATCGTACAGCGTTCTCGACCTCTCTCTGCTAGTGATGCTGAAATGAAAAATCTTATGTCATCAGCAAAAGAGAAAATACCTGGGAGGCATGTTGGCTCCATGCTGGGTCTTTCTATGGAAGAGGTAAGTGGAATCACATACCATTTGGTCATTACACATAGAACCTGTAAGTAGTCAGTCTCATGAATTAATGTGTTTGGTTGATAGATAACTCTAGTGTCAGCAGATTGGGATTGGCATCTTGTCAGCACAGCAGGAAGATTAAATGACAAAGAATAAAAGCCTCTGCAGAATGGAACATTTAAAATTGATCTCATAACTAACTGGCCCTTTATTACCATAGCTTATTTATTTATTTTCTATATTTATGCAGGCAGCCCCCAAGTTACGAAGAAGATAAGTTCTGTAGGTTTGTTCTTAAGTTGAATTTATATGTATATACTTGAGTATAAGCCAAGTTTTTCAGCTCTTTTTTTAGGTTGAAAAAGCCCCCCTCGGCTTGTACTCAAATCAAAGTTATTTATTATTTTACTGAGCTATTATTATTATTATTATTATTATTATTATTATTATTATTATTATTATGTTCACATTATTTTACTCATCATCATCATCATTACATTTATTATTTTACTCTCTTTATCATTATTACATTTGCACTTTAAGAACTTGGTAACTCTATTGATAGTGCTTAACATCTATCTATTGCACTTTAAGAACTGTGAGGTTGATACAACTACCTGCTGCACTTTAAGAACTTTGGTAGCTTTGTTGATTGTGTTTACCACCCACCCACCATTCATGCTGCTCCCGATCCCCTGGTACTTGCTAACCCTTTTGTTAATTATTTGTGGGGGAGGTAAGGAGGGGAGTGAATCGGAGATTTCTGGAAATAGCAAAGTCCGGGTAAGAAATTAATGGAAGGGAAAACTAAAACGAATTGTATCGGTAACAAATCAGATAACCAGCAGCGAAGCATGGGGTGAAATTATGGATGTGAATTGCGTCATGGAGGAGGGAGGATGTTCCGTTGGTCGGGGAGCCCCCATAGAAGTCGTGGTGGGGAGGGGGAGATACGGGAAAAGGAGACCCCGAATTCGGCCTAGGGACCGTACAACAACTTTAGTAATTCCAAATCGGTCTCCTGATACGGTAAATTGGTGTAACCAGGATGGCGGTCCTTCCGGATTGAAGGTGGTGCTGTTGAACGCCAGATCTGTCAATGGCAAAACAGCCTTCATCCTGGATGAACGGGCAGATCTGGCGTGCATCACAGAGACCTGGCTGGACGAAGCTGGAGGTGTGAATCTGACCCAGCTTTGCCCGCCAGGTTTCTCTGTGCAGCACCAGCCAAGATCCGGAGGGCGGGGGGGGGGGGCGGGGTTGCAGTGGTCTATAGAGATTCCATTCTTCTGACCAGGGCCCCCATCCCGCAGTCAACAAATTTTGAATGCGTCCACCTGAGGGTGGGTGACCGGGACAGATTAGGGATTCTGTTAGTGTACCGTCCACCTCGCTGCACCACAGACTCCCTGACTGAGCTAGCGGGGGTGGTCTCGGACCTGGCATTGGAGTCCCAGCGGCTGCTTGTGCTGGGGGACTTCAATGTCCACGCCGAGACCGCCTTATCGGGAGCGGCTCAGGACTTCATGTCTGCCATGGAAACCATGGGGCTGTCTCAACAGGTATCTGGCCCCACCCACAGTGCTGGACACACATTGGACTTGGTTTTCTGCCAGGGATGGGAGGAA